CCCCCCCCCCCCCCCCCCCCCCCCCGTTCTCTGCCAATAATAGTTTCTAGCTAAGATAGTGTTAGGAAAAGTTTTGTCTGATCTCATAAGACAAACTGGAGCTTTATCAGAACCCATTTATATAGTCCAGCCAATAACATTTTTACTGAGTGCAAACCTCTTCAGAATTTAATGGCCTGTCCGTATTTTTTAGCCATGTTATTTTAAGTAACATTAAAGCAGCTTAACATGTTACCGTGTCCACTACTGGGAATCTTCCTATTTGGAGAATCAGAGGATCAGACATGGGTGTTCCTGACTCAGGAAAAGCATGCTTGGGGCAGGGAGGTAGATCTTATATAAGAAAATCACGCTGTCACTGCTACTTATCATTTTTGTGGCTAATACACTAAAGGTATGTTTAAAATTAAAGTGCTGTTTTGATTACTTGGGCTTAATTCTGGTTCTTTGTGTAATACATATAATTGTTAGAGAGCTTGGAAGAAAGGATTTGCTTTATAAGCAAAATTACATGTTTCTAAAATATTAGATTTTGTTTAGTGGAAGAAATGGAAAAATTGAATTAAAAGTTGTTTGAGGTACTATTCAGTAATGTCCAGGTGCCTGACTGAGGCAGTTTCTGAGCAAATGTTCTGCTAATAGCATGAATCCAGAAACTTTGTTTGATACTCAAGTTAATTTGGACAATAAACTCTGCACATTGAGTCTCAAAGGTTTTTTCTTCAGGATTGATTTTTTAAAAGATATGTGTATTTTTTTAGTCCATGTTGAAGTCATGTAACCCGCTTTGCTTGTGTTTTAAGGTACCGAATCAGAACTTAGCTAGGTGTTAAAACAGTTATTTTGCTGTACATCCATTTCTTAAGTATCTGTATGCTCCATGAATTGACCTTATTCATAAAGCTGAAAATGTCTGAAAGGCCCTCTAAATCCAGTCTAGCTACCTACATTAGGCAGCTTATTTACTTATCTGTCAGGGATCAACTCATGACATTCCTAGCACAGTAAGGCTTAAGCAAAAAGAAATTATAAACTGTAATGACGTAGAATAGCTGTTCTTGAGCTCTGGTTACCAGAGAAATTTACTGCTTCAGTCTTCTAGT